GTAGACCACAGTTGGCAAACTGTGACCTTCTGCCAGTTTTTGCATAATTCACAAAGAATGATTCTTGACATCTTTAAATGACTGTGAAAAAAAGGAGTAATGTTTTGTGACATGGAAATTAAAGTCAAACTTAAATGTTCTTAAATAGTTTTAGTGGAATATTGCTGTGTTATAATTTTACTTATTGTCTGTGGCTGCTTTTGTGCTAAATAGCATAGCCCGGTAATTGTAACAGAGACTGATCTGCAAAGCCATTCGCTCTTACAAAAAATGCTGACTCCTTGGACAGATGGTGATTTTTATCTACTGAGACAAGCAAGTGAGGAGTAACAGATGTAGAAAGCTTATCTGTGAGTGCTGATCTTCTGAGTCAGAGGTGCTTTTGAAATAGGCAGGTGTAGAAGGCAAAAGCCAATGTAGGTCTGGGATTCTGAAGAGGGTTTAAGGCTTTGGGTTTAAGAATTTGGGAAGAAAGGATGAAATCAAGAATCCCACATGGAGGAGTGTAACTTGGGCACCAGAATTTTTTTAAAGCTCCCTGGCCAGTTCCAATTTACAGTCAGCTTCAAGAGAACCACTGATATGGAGTGAGAAGATTAAAGATAGAACTCTGAGGAACATCAGCATTTAAGGGACAGTTCTATATACTCTTACCAAGTGGAGGAAATACTGGTAGCGAGATGATGGAAATTGGAAGTACTCAAATCCCCAACTGGTCTCTTTGGAGGGTCTTTTTTTTAGGTGACTGCTGACTCTTACCAATCAAGAACAGTTCTTATAGAAGTCTAGTGACAGCATAGGTCAGAGAACAGTGATTTGAGGTGAAAGTGAAACCTTTAAGTGTGAACTATTGAGATTGTTAGGGAAGGAAAGTGAGGGAACGTAATAGCTATGATGAGGAGCAGCTGGGGATATAGTTTGTTCAAGAGTTTGGCTAAGAGGACACAGCTTGAGCCTGTTTCTATAGTCAGAGAGTTAGCACTCAGAAAGGAAACCTGGAGTGACAGTATGAGATGCTACCATTTAGTTTTCAGAGCTAGATTTTTTTTTAATTTCTTGGCATAATCTTAACATTACAGACAGTTTGGAATTAAATGCTTAATTTATGTAACTATATAATTATATATTTGTGTAATGTAAATAAACAAATACATAAAATATAATAACTGGTATAATATGTAAATGTTACATTTAAATATATACACATATATAAAGATAGATAGATAGATAGATAGATAGATAGATAGAGGTTTTTTGGGGTTTTTTTTTTGCTGGTCTTAGGTCTTGAACTCTGCATGGGTGCTGTCCCTGTGCTGCTTTTTTGCTACTACTTGAGCTACAACGCCATTTCTAGATTTTTTCTTTTAATAATTTATTGGAGATAAAAGTCTCATGGACTTTTCTGCCCAGGCTGGCTTTGAACACAGTCCTCACATCTCAGCCTCCTGAGTAGCTAGGATTACAGGCATGAGCCACCAGCACCTAGCTAAAGTAATATTTTAATGTGTTTTTTAAATAAGTACTAGAATTGTTAACATTTGGCAGTCTTTTCTCCCTGTTTTTTTTAATCTACATACATAGAATTAATTAATTAGTCAGTTGGGTTCCCTAGGAAGCAGACACTGAGGTGGAATTAGAGGGGAAAGGATTTATGTTTGTGATGAAGAGAAAGGTATGAGGAGCTATCTGACAGAAGTGCACACCTGGCAGTCTCTGTTACCAGATTGCCTGATAGAGGCAGCCATGAGACCAAAATGGATGGGCCCTTATATCACCAGATTATCCAGTCATAAACTGGGGCAGTGCTGAAGAAAGAGTGCGCTGTGATTAAAAACTGAGACAGGTTTCCAAGAAGCAAACATCAGGAAACTATCAGGTCACAGGACTTCAATGTATCTTTATATCTGTCATGACACAAAATGTTGTGTCCTGCCTTTTCTGCTTAACACATGTGGGTTAATTTGCAGTCTTCACACTTTTAAAATGTATACATAGTATTCCAACTAGTGCATAGTTAATATATTCATTCCCTAAGTTTCCAAATTTTTCTATACTATTAAAAATGATAACAGCAGCCAGGCGCCGGTGGCTTGTGCCTGTAATCCTAGCTACTAAGGAGGCTGAGATCTGAGGATCATGGTTCAAAGCCAGGAAAGTCCATGAGATTCTTATCTCCAATAAACCACTCAGAAAACAAGAAGTAAAACTGTGGCTCAAGAGGTAGAGCACTAACCTTGAGCTGAAGAGCTCAGGGACAGCACCCAGGCCCAGAGTTCAAGCCTGACCATCCCCTCCCCCCAAAAAAAGTGATAACAGCTTTATATAAAGCTTTTAACAAGATTATTTAGGATTATTTTATTCAAATAGATTCTCAAAAGCAAAATAGATTGAAGAGAATGAACGTTCTTAAGACCTTCATGTTAAAAGGGGTTAAGGGACTGTTATTTATAGTGTCACCCCAAAGAATGAGAGCCAGTGACATAATGGTCCTCAATAACCTTGGATCTTATTTTCTCAGTCTAGCTAATTTGTAGCTGAAAACGATGTTTCCTTTTCTGAAGTGTGATCTCAGAGGAGTCTTTTTTTCTTTTTTTTTTCTTTTGGCCAGTCCTGGGGCTTGAACTCAGGGCCTGGACACTGTTCCTGGAGCTTCTTTTGCTCAGGCTAGCATTCTACCACTTGAGCCACATCGCCACTTCTGGCCTTTTCTGTTTATGTGGTACTGAGGAATCAAACCCAGGGCTTCATGCATGCTAGGCAAGCACTCTTCCACTAAGCTACATTCCCAGCTCTTCATAGGGTCTTTAACAAAGTAAATTGAGGATATGTTAATTCAGTCCTCTGTCCAAAGGATGGGAAGATGATGGTAACAATGAGCACTCCAGGATCAGATTGATTAGGTCTAAATGTTTTCTTTGCTGTTTGGCATTTTGTGATCTCAAGAATGAGTTGGAACATTAGCCTATTTGTCTGCATACTGAGGATCAGTTTCTCTCTTATAGGGCTGTTTTGGCAATGAAATGAGGTAAAACATGTAAAAACTTGAAGTATAAGGTATGGCCCATTGCAAAAGCTTAAGGTTTGTTTTTTTTAATTTTTTTGGTCAGTTGTGGGGCTTGAACCTGGGGACTCTCCCTGAGCTCTTTTATTCAAAGCTAGTGCTGTACCATTTTGAGCCACAGCTCCACTTGTGGTTTTCTGGTGGTTAATTGGAGATAAGAGTCTCATGGACTTTTCCTACCTGTGCTGGCTTTGAACCTGTATCCTTAGATCTCAGCCTCCTGAGTAGCTAGTGTTACAGGTGTGAGCCACCAGCACTCAGCTTTAAATGCTATTTATGTGCTTTTTAAATTGTGTGTTTGTGTGTGTGTGTGTGTGTGTGTGTTTGCTTATTTATACATTTGAGACAGTATCTTGCTATGTACCCTAGGCTGACCTTGAACTCACTGTATTACCCAGGCTAGCCACAAATTTTTGATCCTCCTGCCTCAGCCTCTTGAGGGCTGGGTTTACAGACAAGTACTACCATGCCTGGCTAGACATTATTAGATATTTGATTATTTTAATGTCTAATGAATTAGGAGATAACATTTAATTTAAACTCTAAGGAAAAAAAATGAGGCTTGTAGAAATTTAGTAGATTTGGCTTGGATCTCTTAACTAATAAATTACAGACCTTGAACCTGGAAGTGGATTTTTGCCTGATGCAGGATTTTTCAGTCTTGAACAGTATTGACATTTAGAGATTGGATTATATTTTTTTTTTTTTTTTTTTTTTATTTTTTTTTATTGTAAAGCTACTATACAGAGGGTCACAGTTACATGAGTGAGGTTATGAGTACACTTCCTCTTGAACATTGTTACCCCGTCCATTGTTTTCCCCCTACCATCCCCTCCCTCCCTCCCTTCCCCGAGGTTCTTTTTTTTTTTTTTTTTTTTTGATTGTGATTAAATGATTACATAATTTCAAAGTCACAAGTTCATTCTAACTTCCCTGGAGCAAATTGTCTACCACAGTCTGTAATATATAACAGTGTTCACATGTTATATACCATATTTGTGATCAGCAGCATGAGGATATTTAGTAGTGGTTCAACCAGATGAGCGGGAGTTCTTTGTTTCTTAAGTCCTGTTAGTTTTGTCGTATCACTAACCTTTTGGATTTAGCATCCACTTATGAGGGAGACCATGTACCGTTTGTCTCTTCGTTCTTGGCTTACCTCGCTCAACATGATTCCTTCTAGCTCCATCCATTTCCCTGCAAATGCCATTATTTTGTCATTTCTAATGGCTGCATAATATTCCATTGTGTATAGATACCACAATTTTTGGATCCATTCATCTGTGGTGGGGCACCTAGGTTGTTTCCATATCCTAGCTATTGCGAACAGTGCTGCAATAAACATGGAGGTGCACGTGTCCTTGTATATTGGTTCCTGTTGTTCGGGGTAGATGCCTAGAAGTGGTATGACTGGGTCGTAAGGGAGGTCAATCTTTAGCTTTCTAAGGACCCTCCAGACTGCTTTCCAAAGTGGTTGTATAAGTGTACATTCCCACCAGCAGTGTAATAGGGTTCCTCTTTCTCCACATCCCCTCCATGGATTATATTTTGTTATAGGACTGTCCTGTGACTATTAAGATGTTTAGCTCCTACCCACTAGATGTCAGTAGCACAGCCCTCTTAATTTCAGTTGTGACAGTCAAACTGCCACAGGTTCCCTGGGGGGGCAGGTATCTAATGATCCTGTAGTGACATAGTCCAGGTTTGGGGACAAGGAAGTAGTACTCTATTCTGCTCTTAATGAGTAGGCCTAATCTCTAGTTGAATCCATTTCTCATGAGCTATAATCCATGCTTAAGATGGAATTTTGTTATATACATCCTGGAATTTTAAGCACACCTTTGTGAGATACCTCATAAGGATATATTCCTCTTCCAAACAGCCTTTAGTGTTAAATAAAAATATTTTATATATCTAATTTTTTTCTCTTTGGTTGCAGGTAGCACAACTAAAAAAAAAGAAAAGGTTTTTATGGAATTCAGATGAATGGTAATGGATGATGCAGTTCAAATAACTAAGGTAAGAGAAATAAAACCAGACCTGTACTAATTACAAAATAAACCTGAAACCAGGTTCTTTCCTATTCTCCTCTGTTTATAAATTATAGTAGCTTATTTTTTATAATTTAAAAATTAGCATCTTTTAAAATTATAGTTCTCAACATGGCCATGAATCAGAATCACTTAAAGAACTTTACAAATAAGGGCCAGAGTGTGGTTCAAGTGGTAGAATGCTTTTCTAGCAAGTGCTGGGGCCTGAGTTTAAACCCCCAAATTGGCAAGGTTGGAGTGGGGAGGCGGGAACCAGAGAAAAGCCAGAAGAAATGTCCTACCATCTTGCTATTACTGAATGAATGCTTCTGTAGCAGAGAGCACAGGATAGATCACAGTTTTGAGTGGGACTATAAGCCAATATTAACTTAGCGAACTTTTTTGTTGTTGTTGGTTGTGGATCTTGAACTTGGCTTGGGTGCTGTCCTTCAGCTCTTACTACCTAACTACTACCTACCTACTATCTAACTACTCTACTTGAGCCACAGTGCCACTTCTGGTTTTCTGGTGGTTTATTGAAGATAAGAGTCTCACGGACTTTCCTGCCTGGGACTTTCCTGCCTGGGCGGGCTTTGAACTGTGATCCTCAGATCTCCGCCTCCTTAGTAGCTAGGATTACAGGCGTGAGCCACCAGCACCTGGCTAATTTAGAGAACTATTTTACAATACTCACTTAAGTTAGACATTCGGTATCCATAACCCAGGACTTATATTCCTAGATACTCTTGAGGAATGAAAGGTAGTCCACAGAAAGACGCACAGAAATGTATACTGAAACTTTATTTTGAATAGCTGGGAAAAGTTGAGTGAAATGTTCAAAGGCAGATTAGTAGTTAAGTAAATTGTGATATATCCATTTAGTGGAATTCCACTTAGCAATAGAAAGAGCAGTATACATATAGGTGAGTCTTATAGATACATTCTTCACTGAGTGAAGGAAGGCAAACACACAAAGGCTGATGTAGTTTAGTTACCAGGTAAAACTAAGGTGGAATGGTAGAAGTCAGGTTGGAGGCTCTCTAGCTGGCTGCAGGCTGTGCTGAAAGGAATAGGAAAGCCTCTGCAAAGACCTGCTGTGTTAATGTTTGCGTATGTGTGCAGCTTTTCTTTTTCCCCATATGAGTTATACTCTTAAGCCACTGTAAGTATATAATTCATTAACTTGAAGCAAATTCACATTGTAAAGTCGTTACTACCACCCATCTCCAGAACTGCTTCCTCCTTCCCCAACCCCTGGCTGTTGCATTCCACTTTCTGTCTGTGAATTTGACTACTCTGGGTCCTTCATACAAAAGAAGCAGAATATTTGTCCGTTTGTGTCTGGCTTATTTCATTTAGCATAGTATTTTCAAAAGTCATCTGTGCTGTAGCATATGTCAATACTTAGTTCCTTTTTAAGACTAAACATTCCTCTGTATGTATATACCTCATGTTGTTTATCTGTCCATCATTGATGGACATTTGGGCTGCTTCCACCTTTAGGCAATTGTGACTAATGCCACTCTGAACATGGGTGTATAAACATCTGTTCAAGTCCCTGCTTTCTGTCCTTTTAGATATATATTTAGAAATTGAATTGCTGGATCATATGGTAATTTTATGATCCAGCAACTTTTTGAGCAGCCATCATGCTTGCTGTTCTTCAAAGTGGCAACATCATTTACATTCCTCCCACCAGTACTGCTTCCCAATGGTCTTCCTAGTTGGAGGTTATCTGCGTGCACCGCTGTTTCTTTAGTGAACTTTTTTTTTCTTTGAAAAAATCAGCAATTTTGCCTCTCCCTTGTAAACGTGGTGATTTTACCTTCTGCCCATTATGAAAAATGAGGATTTACTTCTATCCCATTTGATTTTTTTCATTATTTTTGTTTTACTGTTTTGTTAGTACATTTTTACCATATACATTGTTCACTTAATCTGAATCACAAATAAGCCTTTCATAGTCTGTCCATTAGTTGTTCTTCAAAACTGAAAATTAGCTGAGCACTGGTAGCTCACACTTATAAATAATCCTAGCTACTCAAAGCCGGCCTGGGCATGAAAGTCTGTGAGACTCTTTATCTCTAATCAGCTGCCTAAAAACTGGAAGCAGAGCTGTGGCTCAAAGTGTGTAGAGCACTAGCCTTGAACAAAAAAGCTCAGACCAGTGCCTAGTCCCTGAGTTTAAGCCCCACAACCAACAACAACAACAAAAAAAGAAAGCCGGCCGGTGGCTCACGCCTGTAATCCTAGCTACTCAGGAGGCTGAGATCTGAGGATCACAGTTCAAAGCCAGCCCGGGCAGGAACTCCGTGTGAGACTCTTATCTCCAATAAACCACTAGAAAACAGGAAGTGGCACTGTGGCTCAAGCTGTAGAGTGCTCGCCTTGAGCTGAAGAGTGCGCAGGGACAGCGCCCAGGCCCAGAGTTCAAGCCCCACAACCAAAAAAAGAAAGAAAGAAGGCTAGTAAAATTTATAACTAGGTCACTATTGTTCTTTGTCAGACCAAGCAGTGTTTTCTGGCTTATACTTCTTTCTCTATAGTAGATTAATGTCATGGACCCTTGGCTCTCTAAAGTAGGAAATGAAAAAAAAATGAATTCTTGGGGTAATTGTCAGTTGCTTCCAATCATACTTTATATTTCTATTATTGACCATAACTTTCTCATAGAATTTTCCTCCGTGGAGTTTCTCTAATTTTCCTTCTTTCCTGTCCATTTGCCTGTTATAATCTCACTTTCTTACAAGTGCTCAGCCATACATACCACTGTGTTAGTGTGTGCATCTGTATGCTGCTTTTCATTTTCCCCATATGATTTATCTTCTTGATTTGTCCTATCAAGACTAATCCAAGCCATACATTGTATCCCATGTACTCTAGTCCAAAGCCAATCTGGACTGACTGGTTTAGCCTGGCTGTATTTGATACAATTCATAATAGGTGCCAGAAGGGAAAGGGATTCTCATGTTAGTCTGAATATTCTTGTGTATCACTTATTTCATGAGTAGGATGAGTGTATCCTTGTAAGAAGGCTCCTGGGAGTGAGTTTTGAGTGGTGTTGCATTACAACTTAGTAGAAGACCTAGACCAAATATTGTTATGGAAAAGACAGAATAGAGTCTAGTGTACCAGAGTCTTCATACACAAGACCCAAGACTAATTGAAGTTCCCTTTCTCCTAACTTGTCCTTCCTATCTTCCTTCCTAAATGATAATGAGTTTGAGCTCAGGGACTCTCAGTGCTAGACAGAAGCTCTACTACTTGAGCCACACACACCCAGCCCTTTTTGCTATTTTTCAGATAGGGTCTCATATTTCTGCCATCCTTGAACCATGATCCTCCTACTTGTGCCTCTTGCATAGCTGGGATTATAGTTGTATACCACTATGTCTGACTTGTTGATTGAGATAGGAATCTCATTAGCTTTTATGCCTGGGCTGACCTTGAATTGTGATCCTCCTCATCTCTGTCTCCCAAGTATCTGGAATTGCAAATCTGAGCCACCCCTGTAGGACTTTTTAATTCTTATGATTAGTCTAGTTTGGATAACACTGAGTATACATACGATAATACAGTCATGAAATGGATTGGTGGCTGTACAAGTGGAAAGAGGAAACCTAGGAAAGGGGGCATTTCAAAGTAGTAGTATACAATTTGGCACTGAGAGACTGAAGACTAGTTGAAGTCTAAAGAAAAAATTGAGTTTGAAGGAAAAGTAATCAGTTTCATTAGTTGGAAAATAAGGATGCACATTCAGAAATGAAATAATAGAGGTGATCATTGAAACCCTAAACATGAAACATGACTAAGCCTTTCTGAGGAAAAAAGAGAGAGCAGAGCAGAGGAAGCCAACATTGTAGATGCTCCTTTGCCTGCCTCTGAAACAAACAGTGGAACACTGCTATGGCACCTGGAACACACATATACTTTATTTCTGTACTGCCTTTGCATGCAGCCATGGACTCAGTATAGACAGAAACTGGTCTAGATTGGCTTTTTAAGCCTAACACTGAGCTCAGTGTCTGGCTTCTTATTGAAAGTTTGTGGATGTTTGAATTTGAGAAGGAACACATGAACTTTACAATAAAGACATTTGCATTTTTCTTCTTGCACACCTAATTAACCCAATTCCTGGCTCTTAATAGAATTCTGATGAAATTTTGATTTACAAATAGTAGAGAAAGAAAAACTTTGGACCTGAAATGTATTAGTTGTTGTGTCAAAAGAACCAAAAAACTGAGAAACTTTTGAGAGAGGAGGCAACTACAACATGTTATATACAGACCAAGGAAAATGAAAACGAAAAAAATTTGATCAGGATGTTCTTTGTAGATTTGAGAGTAAAGGAATTAAGAACATAACTAAGGGGCTGGGAAGGTGGCTCAGTGGTAGAGTGCTTGCCTTACATGCATGAGGCCCTGAGTTTGATTCCTCAGCACCACATACATAGAAAAAGCCAGAAGTGGCCCTGTGGCTCAGGTGGTAGAGCACTAGCCTTGAGCTGAAGAGCTGATGAGCTAAGGGATAGCATCCAGGCCTAGAGTTCAGGCCCCAGGACTGGCAAAATAATAATAATAATAATAACATAATAAGGACCAATACCATGTATCAAAAAATTAACAGAGAACATTAAGAGAGGGGAAGTGGCCAGTAACATAAGGAGAGAGACTACAGGGCTTAACATGGAGGTGATTTTTGTTTGTGTTTTTAAAGTCTGTCTGGAACATCTGGGCCTATTTGTAAACAGAAGGGAATAAGGGCTAGGGAAGCAAAGCTCAAAAGTATGAAAGTATATAATTTGGGGTGAGACATCTTGCAAAGGATCTCAGTCATAGTGAGAACCCTTGGGAAGGATGAGAAATACTCTTTTTACTCTAGTCTGAACAGAATAGAAGCTCTACAGAGAGCTATCTGCCCAGAGGGAGCTATGGCACTAGAAACTAGCAAAGGGAACCTGACAAAGGATGTTTTCTACACAACAAAAGTGTGAGAAGTGTGATACTTCTATCCAATATTGGATATCCAGGAAGCAGGATGTTTGGGGAGCATGCGCTCTCGCTCTTTTTCTCTTGCCCTCTCTTTTCTCTTGCCCTCTCGCCCTCTCTCCCTCCCCCCTCCCCCTTCTTGTCCTCTCTCCTCTTCTCCTTCTCTCCATTCCTCCTTCCCTCCTTCCTTCCCTCTCCTTGTCTCTCCTCTCCCTCTGTTCCTCTTCCTTCCCCACCCTCCCTCTTCTCTCCCCCCTCCCAACCTTTCTCTCCTCTCCCTCTCTCCCCTCCTCCTAGCTCCCCTCCTTCCCCCCCTCTTTTTCTCTCCTCTACCTTCTTTCCCTCTCTCCCTTTCTTTCTCTTTTAGAGACAGGTTCTCACTTATGTAACCCAGGCTAGCTTTGAACAGAATATATGACACTATTGATCAAAAAATTTAAACTAGGAGAAAAGAGAGGTGGGATTAGGTAGGAACTGTGGGGCACAAAGGCAAACCCAGTAGAAAATTCCATAAATTTTATTTCATTTGATGGAGATGTTTAACTTGTCTACCTTAAAACCCATTGAACACAGAAAGTGCCAGGAAAAGTCTGCTTTGTCTTCAACAAAGGGACAGCATAAAACATTTTGACCATGGCTGTCCTACTCTAGGCAAAGGGAAGAGGGAGTACCCCTGATTCTCCAGGCACTGTGGACAGTCAGACTTCAGCTGTGGGGAATGCTGGCTGAGCTATCTTTCACCCCTACCCAGGAGTCACAAGATGGAGCCAATTACAGGACAAAGTGGGGAGCTTCAGAAATGAGTTCCTTAAGTCTATATATTAGAGCCTCCTTCACAGAAAAGAGAGAAAGGAGGGACAAATAGTTGGAGCACAGGAGATTTACTGTATGATAGATACTATAATGTCATACAACTATCACAAAAAAAGCAGTCCCTCATGTAAGCTCTAGCCTTTAATTAATAACAGTGTATCAATACTGACTGGTCAATTGGAAAAAAAATATCCTTTATAAGGAGAGTAGTAGCAGAGGTGTGGGGGAGAGAAGAGCTAGGGAATAAATGGAAACTACATTCCAATCAATATTTCTGTATACCTAGCACTGCTTTTTAAATAGTATATATTTTAATGGTTAATAATTTACCATAAAAATACTAATCAAAAGAAAAATAAGCTCAAGTACCTATATTAATACCAGATAAAGTATTCTTCTAAGCAAGGAAAATGATCAAGGACAAAGAGAATCAATACACACCAATAAAAGGATCAGTTCTGTAAGAAGACATATATATTCAAAAGTATGCATGAAAAGGGTAGCTTTAAAATAAGTAAAGCAAAACTGATATGATTGAAAGGGAACGAAGCAGACCAATAATTACAATTACCAGTTCAACACCTTCTTTTACTAATTAACAATACCACTAAGACAAATACCATGTATTTACACTTACACGTAGAGTATTGAAAAACCTAAAGACATGCTGGATGCCAGTGGATCAAGGCTGTATCTAGCTACTCAATAGGCTGAGACCTGGAGGATGGAGATTCAAGGCCAGCGTAGACAGAAAAGTCTTTTGAGAGTCCATCTTCAAAATGACTAGCAAAAAGATAGGTAGAGGTGTAGTTAAGTGGTAGAGTACCAGCCAACCAAGGCTGAGTTCAACTAGTAATTAGTGGGAAGAATAAAGTCAACAGGGCTTACTCCCATCTTATGTTCTGAATATAAATTCTTTTGGCAGTTTAACTTACAAACTTAGTTTTTAAGTATATATTCTTTTTTCCTCTGAGTTTTTTTTTTTTTTTGCCAGTCCTGGGGCTTGAACTCGGGCCCTGGGCACTGTTTCAAGCTTCTTTTTGCTCAAGGCTATCACTTGAGCCACAGTGTCACTTCCAGCTTTTTCTGTTTATATGGTACTGAGGAATCAAACCCAAGACTTCGTGCATGCTAGGCAAGTATTCTACCACTAAGCCACATTCCTAGCCCTGCTCTGAGATTTTTTTCCCCCCACACAAACCAAGTTTTCGTCTTCAGTTCTCTGACTCATTGAATGACATCTTTTAGGTAAACCAGAAACCTATGAGGAGTAGCATTTAACACCTTCCTTCTCACCCTAAAGGCAAATTCTGTCCAGCATCATGCAGTTTGCCTCTTAAAATACCTCCATTCTGGCATTTCCACCTGTAATCTAATCTTCTAATGAAGCTGTCTACATCTTCTACTCTGGACTTTCAACCCAGTAGAGTGTTCATTCCAAAATACAGGACAGGCAAGTCACCTTTGTGCTTCCATTCTTCAAAGTCAACTTAACATTTGAAGAACAAGAAAAAAATCACAGCCCCACACTCATGATCCTACCCTGTATACGTCTCCGGTTGTCTCCTGGCACCATGCTCCTCCTCAGTCTTTGTGCCCTGGACACAATGACTTCTTTCAGTAGTTTCCATCCGCTCTCTAACCCAGTCCAGAATGGAGTTTTGTATCCTCCCTGTCTCCCTAACTCCCATTCATTCTTTACGTCTTAGCCCAGGAGTCAGTGGCTTGGGAGTCTTTGTCTGGCTCCCTTTCTTCTATATAGGCTCTCAAAGTCTTTTAATTTTCTTCTCTACCACTTTTCACATTTTGAGAAGTGGTCAGTGTCACTGAACTGTGTGTTTCATGAAGGAAGGTGTTTAGATTTATTATTTCATGTATTAGGAATAAGACCCAAGTACACAGTACATGCTTAGTAAATCTCTCCTCCCCAGTGAATACATTTTTAACCGCTCCCAAAATGAAAGTTTTTTTGTTTTTTTTTTTTTGGTCAGTCGTGGGGCTTGAACTCTGGGCCTGGGCGCTGTCCTTCAGCTCTTTAGCTCAAGGCAAGTGCTCTACCACTTGAGCCACAGCACCACTTCCGGCTTTTTCTGTTTATGTGGTGCTGAGGAATGGAACCCAGGGCCTCAGGCATACAAGGCAAGCACTCTACCACTGAGCCACCCTCCCAGCCCCAAAAGTACATTTTTTTTTTTTTTTTTTTTTTTTGCGGGGGGGCTTCTGGGGCTTGAATTCAAGGCCTGGGCACTGTCCTGAGTTTTATTTTGCTCAAGACTACAACTCTGCCACTTGAGCCACAGTGCCACTTCTGGCTTTTCTGTTTATGTGGTGCTAAGGAATCAAACCCAGGGCTTCATGCATGCAAGGCAAGCACTTTACCACTAGCACCCTTTCTTGCCTTTTGGATTGAGTGACTTTAAAAAAAAATTAAGATTATTTTTAAGTAGGTGTACAAAGGAGTTTTTATTTCAAGTATCAATTTATAAGAACAATGCATATTGATCAGTGTTACTCGTTACATTATTCTCCTCCATCTCTCTCAACTCTACTTATCCCCTTGAGTAACTTAGTTCTATTTTTCACATAATACTCGTATACATTGAATATGTTGACTGTATTCCCCCACCCTTTCTCTCTTCATTTATTTACCTAGCTCTCTCCTTGACCTTACCACTCCCTGATACCCCAACTTCTATTTTGTTTTTTTTGTTGGTTGGTTGGTTGATTGGTTGGTTGGTTGTGGGGCTTGAACTCTGGGCCTGGGCCTCAGCTCTTCAGCTCAAGGCTAGCACTCTACCACTTGAGCCACAGCACCACTTCCAGTTTTCTGGTGGTTTGTTGGAGATAAGAGTCTCACTGACTTTCCTGCCTGGGCTGGTTTTGAACTCTGATCCTCGGATCTCAGCCTCCTAAGTAGGATTACAGGCATGAGCCACCAGCGCCCAGCTTCCAAGTTCCATTTTGTTAGACTATAAGTTTAGTTGTTCAAAGAGGTTACACCATTGGAATTCTCCCTTGCATGTACCCATACTTTTCTTAACATATTTGTGTATGTATGCAGATGCTTCTTTATATGTTTACATATATCTTGATAAATTAGATCTAGCTTTTTTTTCCCAGAGCGGAGGACAGAACTCAGGGCTTTGCCAGGCACTTGCCAGGCAAGTGCTCTTCCACTGAGCTAAATCCCCAATTCTGTAAATTAGATTTAACTTCCACATATGGGCGAAAAAAATATGGAATGCTTCACAAGTTTGTGTGTCATTCCTACAAGAGACCATGCTAATCTTCTCCTTATTTTTCTAATGTTAATACATGTGCTACCAAAGCACATGATTGGGCAAAATCATGTAACACAGAGCCTGTGTTATAATGAAGTGTTCAATTTCTCATGTAATTTATTGAATATTTAGTGAAAGTGAATGCAGGGGTTGCACGGATATGTTTTCTCTACATTATAAAACTGAAAAACTCCTAAGTCAAGCAAAGCCAAGTCAGGAACTGTCTGTAAATACTTACAGGTTTAAGGAATTGACTTGTAGAGATCTGGACACTCAGAAAGGAGTGGTGGTTTGAACTGAAGGACTGTTGGAGAATTTCCTCTCTTGAGGAGGAGGTCAACCTTTTCTTCTGTTCAGACATTCAGCAGATTGGAAAGGTAGTCTATTTGACTCAAAGTTCACCAATTTAAAAGGTAAATATTGAGAGACTGAGGGAAAGGATGACATTGTTCAAAGAGAAATGTACTCTTTACCTGACTTATATAACTGTAACCCCTCTGAACATCACCTTTATAATAACAATTTTAGTTTTTTTAATAAATTTAAAGAAAAAAAGATAAATACTAAGTTAGGCACTGATGGCTCATACCTATAATCCTAGTTACAGAGGCTGAGATCTGAGGATTTTGGTTCAGATCCAGCCTGGGCAGAAAAGTCTTATGAAATTCTGGTCTTTCCAATTAACTACCAAAAGTCAAAAGAAGAGCTATGGCTCAAAGTGGTAGAGGGCAAGCCTTGAGCACAAAAGCTCAAGGACAGTACCCAGGCCTTGAGTTCAAGAGACTAGGACTGCCAAGAAAAACAAAAAAATCATGAATTCCTACCCCTTGTTGTCTTGTCACTAATAGACCTCTCTTTAAGCCATACTTAATCTCTAAAGACAATAGCAAGGTCAGATTTCTGACTAACATGATAGGACTATCCTGCATACAATTAAAAACATCTTTCTCCAGAAGATACAAAATTTATGGGTGGTATTGATCTCTTTGATATATGGCAACTTAAATACACAATTTGCTGTTAGTGTAATAGTTTTTCCTTGAAGAAAATGTTTACCATTTTTCTGTTACTGCATGACAAAACATCCCCATAATTAGTTGTTTAATCCATTTGATCAGTGGTAGTGGTCTCTGCCTGTAATCCTAGCTACACAGGAGGGCAAGGCAGGACAATCGTAATTTAGCGGCCAACTGGGAAAAGTTAGTGAAACCCTATTTCAGAAACAAATGGCTAGGAGTTGTGGCATAGCTCAAGTCTTAGAGTACTTGCCTAGCCCTGTCCCCAGTATCCAATCTAATTAGCTTACAATTCTGTGAATCAGCGATCTCTTCTAGTTATCTGTTTAGTTCATCTGCTGTCTGGACTGGAGTCATTCATGGCAGCTGTAGGCAGCTAGTGGTTTGTCTGCAGCTGAGACTGTCTTAAGCACATGTCTGGCAGTTAGTGTTGGCTGTTTTTTAGTCCTCTCTCTGCATGTAAGAAGGTGTGCCAAGGCTTTTCACACTGACAGCAGTGTTTCCAGAAAGCAGAATGACAGCTGCAAGGTTTCAAGAGATGTCAGCTTGGAGGTCATACCATCATTTCTGCTGCATTTTATTGAAGCAAGTCACAGGGTCATTTCAACTGAAAGGGATGGGGAAATAAACTTGACCACTTTATAGGAAGAATGGCAAGGTCTCACTGTAAAAAGTATGTGTATAGGAATACGAGTTTTTATAGTCATCTTCACAAATAGTCTCATCACTGTGTGTGGTTTTGTTTTTTTCCTTCTGACTACCTTTAATTTTTTTTTTTTTTTTGATGAAGGGGTTCAGAAGTCTTGCTATGGTATATCTGGAAACAGATTGCCTTTTTATTTATCTATTTGGAGGTCCTTAGGACTTCTTAAATGTATAGTTTGATGTCTTTTGTCTGTTTTAGAATGTTTTCAGATCTATCTCTAAATATTTCTTCTGTCCCATTTCTCTCTTCCCTTTTATTAGGGATTCAAATTATCTCACAGTATGCTTCTTTGTATTTTTTTTTTGCCAGTCCTGGAGCTTGAACTCTCGGCCTGGTTACTGTCCCTAAGCTTCTTTTGCTCAAGGCTAGCACTCTACCACTTGAGCCATAGCACCACTTCCAGCTTTTTCTGTGTGTGTGGTATTGGGGAATTGAACCCAGAGTTTCATGCATGGTAGGCAAGCACTCTACCACTAAGCCACATTCCCACCCCACTTCTCTTTATCTTTTGCCCTTTCTGCTTCATTCTGAATACTTGCCTTTATCTCCAAGTTCATTTAATTCTTAAGCGCTCTCTCTCTCTCTCTCTCTATATATATATATATTTGCTTATTTGTTTGTTTTGTCTGTCATAGGACTTGAATTTGGGGCCTGAGCAGTCCTGAGCTCTTTTGGACAAGTCTAGCACTCTGCCACCTTGAGCCACAGCTCCACTCCTGGTTTTCTAATGATTAATTGTAGTCACATGGACTTTCCTGCTTGTGTTAGCTTTGAACCACTATCCTCGGAGCTCAACCTTCTGAGTAGCTAGGATTTCAGATGTGAACCACCAGCACTCAGCTTTAAGCTATGTTTTATCTGTTCTTAAATGTATATATTGGGGCCTTTATGTCAATTATGGTATTGATTTTAAAAGTTGTAAACTTTTCATTCTAATATTTTGTGTGTGTGCCAGTCCTGGGGGCTTGAACTCAGGGCCTAAGCACTGTCCCTGAGTGTTCAAGGCTAGCACTCTGCTCCACTTCCAGCTTTTCAGTGGTTAGAGATAAGAATCTCTAACCACTGAGTTTACTGCACACTCTGTCTCCCAGCCATGATCCTGTAATCTCAGTCTCCTGAGTAGCTAGGATTACAGGTGTGAATCACTAGCCCCAGGCTTCCAGTGTTTAAAATAAAAACTTTTAGCATGGATTTTAGTAAAACAATGTGGAGAAATAGAGAAGAAAGAAACATTTCCTGCCTCCTATGCAGAAAAGGGAGTTTGAGACTAATCTAGTTTTTTAGGTTTTTTTTCTTTAATCTATTCACGTAATGCTAGGGGTTGAAACCAAGGCCTCATCTGTATAGGCAAACACTCAGCCACTGAGCCCTGTAGAATGTCTGTCTGGCTCTTGTAGGTATGTAATAATTTCTTTTGCTAAAATTCACAATCCTGTGGGATATTACTATTTGCTTTCTACCGATTCCCATGTTGTCTCCCTAAAAAAAAATACTCTGACTTTTAAATTTTGCTTGTAGAGCTGGGTATAATGCTACATACCTATAATCCCAGATTATAGGAGACAGATGCTGAAGGATTTTGAGTTAGAGGTTACATAGCAAGTTCAAGTCTAGGCTAGGCTACATAATGACCTTTTTACTGAAATAGAACAAAAGAAAAAAATTGTAAAGAGTTTCTGAGACCAAAAGAAAACAAAACAATTTTTGTAAAGAGTTTCTGAGATTAGGAGTCTACTTTTATTCTAAATATTATTTATATTTGTTTCTGACCTTGCATAGGAGTCTTGAATCATTTTAATCTAATTTCAAAGACTTAGTTGCTTTTCAGGACCTGTAGTCCTACAGGGGCTCATTAACCTCAGTTCACCCCCTGTTACACCTGTTATATGTGGGACATTTTTCTGGATGCTATGTAGGTTCTATGATAGAAGCAGACCTGGTCTTTGGTCTGAGTAGAACATAGTCATGATTATAATTGACAGGTAAATATATATTCAACTAATAAATTCTGTGAAAATTATGAATTGGCTGTTGTGATAGTACTTAGAGAATAAAAACAGTTCTATCATAATTCACAGTGGAGCAGGTTTTGTTTAAACTGAAACCTGACTGATAGAACTAGGAAGAGACATTATCAGTTAGTTGACAGAGTGAAGACTAGATGGCAGCAGAAAAGTATGTGGAGAGCTAGGTGCAGTGGCTCAAGTCTGAAATCCTAGCTACATGGAAACAGAGATTGAGGAATCATGTTTAATGCCAGCCAGCCTGGGCACAAAAATCCATGCCTTCCCCTCAGCCATTGGCTGGGCAGTGGCAAGCATATATCATCCCAAGCTGCAGGAGAAGAACAATGGATGGGTATCTGTTACCACAGTGACACAAGGAAATATAAATAGGATCAAAATCCAGACTGTGCTGGGCTCACGTCTATAATCCTAGCTACTCAGGAGACTGAGATCTAAGGATCTTGGTTCACAGCCAGCCTGGGCAAGAAAGTCAGTGAGATTCTTTTTTTCTTTTTCTTTCCCCTCCTTCTCCTTGTTGTTGTTAGACCTGGACTTGAACTTGGTACCTGACACTTTGCTCATGATTAGTACCCTACCAACTAAGCCACACCTTTAACCTCTCCATCTTATTTCTCTTTTGAAAAGACAATTGAATCAAAGTGAAGAAAAGTCACATTCATCTCCTGAGTGAAAATAATTTGACATATCTGAAATGTTTAGGTCACTATGAAAAAAATGGGTAAGAAAATGCCTGAGATGTGAGCTCCTCAAAGTCAGTAACTACTTTCTTCCTTGTTACCTCAGCTTGGCACAAGATAATTGTACAAATGAGCAATTTTAGTGTGTCTTTGCTTTAAAGCAATTTGAACTGTCATTATCTTATAAGTAGAGTTTACCATTCATTGTTTTAGGCATTCCAGACAGATTGACAAAACTTGCTTTCTGTCATGGTATCACTAACCCAAAACTCTGGTCTGATTAATTTTACAATTTAAATTTCCTAAACAGTCCAGCAGTCAGAGAACACGTTGTAATACTGAGGTGAAAGGCCTATTCAGAGCTTTATGGCTATTTTCTGTCTTTGGCCACAGACCCTAGGATTTGATCTGGTATTTGAGAGGGAAAAATTAGTTATGCTTTTTGTATCTTAATTTTCTAATTATGATGTAAAGTTTTCTTTTTCTAGAAAGAGACTATAAACTGGAATGAAAATGAATTCTCATCAGTAAAAGCAAAGCTTTAAGTAGGTCATCTGATTTTGCTTTTGTGTTCCACATTTACCCTGGTTATAAAAGGGCCTTTCATGAGTTTTCTAGGCTTTCA